GCATCGACAATTAACACTCGGAGGGTTAACTTAAATTGAAATAATGTAGGCCTAGGTAAAAATAACAAAGTTTTAGGGCCTATTATTTTAACCAATATTTTATATCGATGGTTTCAAATATTTAAGTTAGTGTGGCCCAGTTAAGAAACTTTACCCTTATAATTTATGCCTACAACGCTGTTACCTACCTATTGAATTTTATTCATAATTAACTTAAGTAAGCCTCTTCAGCTCAACACAGAACTTGACGGATTGCTAATTTCTCAGTTTTAATTGAGTTAACTTATACAGACTGTCCCAAAAGTCCCGGACCGGTTTAATATTTTCTAAACGACAACAGATAAATCAATAAGATTTGGTACACCAACACCACACCTAAAAATCTACTTTTTTAAGGAAATATCAATTTTCTGTCACATCATGGGGGCAAGGAGTCAGAAGGAAATCTTAAATTGGAGCATAGGTCAATATGCACATCAAATGAAAGGTCTTTTTTATTAGAATACAATGCCGCAAACCGCATTTCAAAAGGTTGATCCTGCGCAAAATGGCGGCCGTTCAAATATTTCTTAAATCAGCCATTTAGAATCTTTGAACGACTGCCATTTTTTACCCAGGCGTTCTTTTGAGCTTGAATTTACGGCATTGTAATCTACTAGTGAAGACCTTTAATTTGATGTGCATATCAACCTATGCTTACGTTAAAAATTTTCTTCCGATTCCTAGGGCTGTGCCCCCTGAGGAGTAAGCGTATAATAGCAATGCGAAATAAATGAATCTTTGAACCACTGTCATTCTTGGCTCGGTTATCCGTTTGAGTTCAAATTTGCGGCATTATATTCTGCTAGTAAAGAATTTTAACCCTTCCAGGGCTAAATTAAATGAAGGGCTTGAGCTTAATTATTTTTGGCCAAAAATCAAAAACTAAAGTGGTTGTGTTTTGTATTTATTTCACTTGAAATAATTCATGGATCATAAAAAGATTTTCCTTAGGGCTGAACTAATTTTTGTACAAAAGTTATGAAGAAAATAAAATTTGATTTGACGGATATATCCGTCTTTGGCCCACAAAAAACATAAGGTGGACGGATATATCCGTCCGCCGCCCTCAGTGATAATCACAAAATATGAACACTGCCAATAATCTTGACTATTCTTGTGGGCGGCAGACGGATATATCCGTCAACCTTAGGCTATTCCTTCCCTTGTTTTATTTTTTATCCATAAAAATGTATCTATAATTCTGAAGTAAATCTAAACCACTCAGTTCAACTCCCGTGTCCTCAATCCCATTCCCCGCCAAGACTTCTACTACATAAAGACTGTTCTTCAGGTTCATCATATCCATCACATTCCATATTATTATTTTCACTGCCAAGTATAAAACCCCCCTCAGACATACTTTTATTAAGCATCTCAATTATATCTTCAAATTTCAGATGGTTTGCATTAGTAACTTTAGCTCAAACCATAAAAATAATGTACCAAACATAAAATGTAAACATCACTTACTATCAACCATGTGTGAAGTGACAGCAATATTTACTTACGCACACTCTATGGTGCAAAATAGCCGAAACAGCTGCGGCAATTATTATTGCCAACCACAAAAACAAAATAACCCATTTATAATGCAGTGTAATGTTTATTACCCTATTATAAACATTGTATATCAATTCGTTTTTTGGACGGATATATCCGTCTTTATCCCAGAAAAGAAATTTCTTGGGACGGATATATCTGTTTTCAGCCCGGAAAGTAAACAAAGATTGACGGATATATCCATCCTTAGCCCTAGAAGGGTTAATTTGGTGTAATTAATTCAAGCTCAAAAGAACGCCTGGGTAAAAAATGGCAGTCGTTCAAAGATTCTAAATGGCTGATTTAAGAAATCTTTGAACGGCCGCCATTTTGCGCAGGATCAACCTTTTGAAGTGCAGTTTGCGGCATTGTATTCTACTAAAAAAGAACTTTCATTTGATGTGCATATTGACCTATGCTCCTATTTAAGATTTCCTTCTGACTCCTTGCGGGACGTCCCCATGATATGACAGAAAATTGATATTTCCTTAAAAAAGTAGATTTTTAGGTACGTGGTGTTGGTGTACCAAATCTTATTGATTTATCTGTTGTCGTTTAGAAAATATTAAACCGGTCCGGGACTTTTGGGACAGTCTGTATATTGTATTAAGTTATCAAGTTATGTTAACTTACTATGGTGGATCAGAATCAGGGATCATAATTCAATTATTTGACATTCCGGACACCACCTAACTTAGGTGTGTAAGCTATTTTCAGGGAGGTCAGCCCGCCTAATTTTCTAAGAAAGTACCTATTATAGTAGGGATCTAACGTAGATGTTACCGGTATTAAAAAGAGTGTCCTTGTTAATGAGTTAATTACAGCTGGTAACTTTTTTAAATAGGGGTGAAGTGAGGTAGGTACGGTAAGTGGAACCAGGTTTTACCATAACTTAGTTCAACTTTGACCTTACATTGCTCAGGTAATATTACAGGCCTATACTTGTAATTGTGAAATTATTTGTAGGCCTGCCATAACCACAACTGATTAGCTTTTTAAAGACAATAACCAACTTAATTTTTTTTTTCTTTCTTAAGAATACAAATAGGCCTAGTAAATGTTTCGTGGTTCTAGTTGCCAACCACCCACTTCTGAATTCGGCCTATAATAAATTGCATTGAGAGGAATGAGGGGCAAGTGGGTCAATAGGAAAATTTTCTGTAATTCTGGGACTTTTTGAATTATAAACATATCTCTATCCCTTGTTAAGTTAGGCTACTAACCTTTTCGTAGACCCTTGCGGAAAACTTTGTAGGCTATAATGTTAAGATACGTAAAATTGCAAAATCTTATAAAAATAGCACTTAACTTACATTGTGTGTGGTTGTAGTACAACTCTCTGGGCACATGATTCACTTGAAAAAAAAATGTTTTTTTAATCCTACCTACCTTAAGTTAGTTGTTTTAATATAGCACATAGGCCTATTGTTATGGTCAGCTTAGTATGGTATCAGATGTTTAAAAAAGTTAAGATTTACTGATCATTGATATTTTAAAAAGTTACCAGCTGTAGGCCTAATTAAGTTACTCATCATCATACGCTCTTTTCAGTAGGTAACATCAAAGTCAGGCCCCTAACTCTTTCTTAGAAAAATGTAGGTCAGTCTACCTTAAGTCGAACAATTTAATATGGGCTAGATATGCGGGAATAAAAAATATGAGTGAAGGAAGAATGTAGAATGTTGTGAGGTGGTCTATGCAGCCTTTTCACTAAGATCAGCTAGTTAATTAATTAGTCAGTATCATCTTACTAGGCTAATATTATTAAATGTGAAAGTTTGTGTGTTTGATTGTTTGAAGTTTAATCACTCATTAACTACCGGTAGGCCTACTGGACAGGTTCTAGGCTGAAATTTGGCATGATGATAGCTCACAGTAGGCGTGTTCCAACAGATATGTGTATTTGAAAACACTTATTTATTTCCAAATAGGTAGCCTATACATTAAAAACTATAACACACACGGTTCATTTACAAGCAACTTGGACTCAATATTACCCCCGCACTTGTACTTGTCCCACAGAAAGTTTTTGGATTTTTCCAAGTCCACTGCAGAAAGTTTAAAATTGTTCTATTTTGGAGAGTGCGGTATATTTACACCTCTCTCTTATTTAAAAACATACGCCTAATATGAGTTTCTTTAGTAGGCCGAGTTGGCTCTAAACTTAAACAAAGCTATAGGCTAAAATAAATATTTAGACAGGGTAGGCCTACATAAGTTGCATTTATTTGCAACTCTTAAATACAATGCCATTTAATGGGGACAGGACACCTATACATTCCGTTAGTTGGTTATGATATTTTGAACATATTTAGTCAAATCCGAGGCGTGTTGTAAGCCAAGAGCGATTTGTGTAATGCTTTGTGTGAATTTTTTATTCTCTGTACATCTGTATTTAAAGATATTCTCTACCTTAATCAAGTGTTAGTCCAGTTAAAATAAAAAAATCATACTTCAATCAAAGTTGACAAGAAACATAGTCTTTGCAGGGTGATATCAGTTAAAGGATAATCTCGTCAACGTGTTTGTTGACACTCTAGCAATTACCATTATGGCTCGTATCTCTCACCTTGGGTAGTAAACATGGCTTCTGTTGTTTAATTGGTCAACTGACTTAAATGTACTGCTACTTCACTATGTTATCAGCTGGTTACTGACGTACAACACACTTTTTGTGCATCAAGATTAACAATGTTGGATAAGTTTTGTAATGTTTTCATGATTTAGAGAAATCGATTTGTGAAAAGTTCACCATGTTGAGGTGGCTTGACATTTGACCCCCAATGTAACAAACCTAAATTGCAGCATAGATACAACGTACTCCCATGTTTTATCTATGATTGCAGGCTCTGCATTTTTCTATATATGCATGATTGATTAAGTAGGTATTAAAATAATAAATTTCCAATTTGTTGGCTTCGGTTTTTATGGTAAACAACAATGTAGGCCTATGCTTAAGCATTGAGTACAGTATGCACTTACTAGACCGCCAGCTACGGTATGTAGAATGATACAAGTATTGCTCAGTGATGAAAACAATGTAGGAACGTTGTAGATTGTACACTCTTTTGAGTAAAAATATTAGACATTCAAAACATTCATGGACAAACAAAGGTATAATGTTTTTGAAATCACTTGCATGTCGGTCCAAAACTTTGGCTAAGTGTCAACAAAAATTAGTTTGTGCGACAAATGCAAGGGGTTGCACAGATTCTAGCTAGTTCTCTTTTTAACAGTGCGGTAAAATTTACGTATTTGTACTATACATGTGCAAATTATACCACTAGGAACTGCAAGACCTATTTTTATAGTTATTTTGTTTTTCTTTCCTATATAACAACTTTTTTTTCATTTCTCAACAGTTGAGTTTTCTGTTATTGATAAGTGTTGAGCAAGTGTTGTGTTGTGGTGTGTCCAGGATGGCTTCTACCTCCGAAACAGGACTACAACTATTCGCTCGTTTGATCCCAAGGCCTAGTCTGGTGGGGCTGGACAACACGTTGTTTCCTGAAGGACCGAATGCTAAAGACGTAATTGAAATAAGCGGAGACCCTTCCACAGGAAAGACTCTTCTCTTCCACCAGTTCATCGCCAAGTCCATCCTTCCAAAAGAATTCAACAGAGTGCAACTGGGCGGATTGAAGTCAGGTGTAGTGTTGATAAATACCGATCACCACTTTCAAATGTTAAAATTGATAGCCATGATGGAAAACCATCTGAACTGTGTGAACAATTTTTCAGTCTCCAACATTGAAAAGGTCATTAAGGAATCTTTGGACAGACTTATAATTTACAATATAACAGATAGTGTACAACTTCAAACTACATTTTATGCACTGCAATCTCTGGTGTCCAACCAACCAGAAATCGGATTGGTGCTGCTTGATAGTGTTTGTGCGTTTTACTGGCAAGACTCGTTGACGTCTGGTATTCGAAAAATGGACTTTTATACTACATCGCTTATAAGAGTCCTACAAAAGTGCCTTGGAGATTTTAAAGGTGTAATTATGTACAGTCGACCATCATACTTTCAGTCAAAGTTGGCAAAGTCGGAATCGTCCAAGACAGGCTTGGGTTTTGCAAATCATAAAATAGTCCTCAAGAAAATTATGGCGGAGGATCGATATTCATACATGGCTGATGTAGAAACATCAAATGGTAACAGTTTTAAGAAAGCTTTCACCATCAGTTCAAGTGGTATTCAGTGGGTTGAATAGACATTGTTATATAGGCCTATTGGGTTGATTGAGCAGGACAAAGGAGAACAGTGTTGCCCATGACCCTATTCACAACCAATAAAACTGTAAAGAATCGTCAATGTTATTAATTGTTAGAAATGTTGTTAGCAATAATTTCATATTTTTTTATTAAAATATAGCTTTGCCTCTAAAAAGGTGATATTTGTTGGTTCCCAAGCCTTTTCATTCATACAAAGTTTGATATCATGTTTTTACTTGAGGTTTGTTTACCATTTAAAACATAGGTATTTTTATTCTACCCACATTCCTTAAAGTACCGTATGTACAGTAAATTAATGCTCAATAACTATACAAGTGCTAAATGAGCTTTAGTCAATCATGTTTGCGTTGAAATATTTTAGGAATAAAAATGAATTACAGACCTAATTATTTTAGAAGACTGAGACAATCAAACAAATCGAAGGGTTCCTAAAAGAGTTTTTAATAGATCTAATTCCGTAAGCCCAAAATTTTACAATGAAATTGTGAGCAAACGGGAGGACGTAGAAAGCTGGAAGAGGTCTCGTTTTAAAGGTCGGCATGATTCATTTTTCTTAATTATGCACCAAACGGTTGTTACAGAATAAAATAATTCACATTTAAATAAGTTAAAAGCATATGATATGTAATATGTACTGTAATATGCATACTATTATAAAGTTGAAATAGACATTTTCCCAATTTTAAGGGTCTGGATTATTTAATGGAGTACGATTGGTTGTGTTGGGTATGTCTGACCAAAGTGTAAAGTTAGAAGTGATTACTGGAGTAGGCAAAGGGGACTTATTTTTCCATTCCGAAAATAAAACTAATATCTATAGATCCTGATATGCCGTTTAAGTTTACAAGTATTCAATTCCCATTGCGATTAGCTTTTAATATTACTTATTATTAAAGCAAAGAACAAGGCCGAACCTAAACAAAAGTTGGCATTTATTTGAAGAAAAAAAACAGTGTTTACCCATGGTCAACTTCATGTTGCTTTTAGCCAGGTAAAGCGGTCAGATGATGTTAAAATAGTACTAGAACCAAATAAGTATAGAATCAAAGAATCAAGTACAGAACCAAGTATAGAATCAAATAAAGACGAAGGAATCAACCAAAATGGATACCATACAACAAATGTTGTTTTCAAAGAGATTTTGTTATAAACAAAATGCAATATTTTTCTGTCATTGTAATTAGCATTTTACAATCTGGAGGATGACATTATCTCCATGTGTTTAATCTAAGTGAATTTGTCTATATTCAAAGAGATTTATATATATTTAATTAATAGTCATGAAGATTATAATTGAAAATGATCCTTAGTTGTATTTATGATTAGAAAGTTTTTATAATACCGCATGAAAAGTCTTTTGGAACTTTTATTTTAAACAGAGCAGACAACAAAATGCATTATGCAGGTATGTAATAATTATAATACATATTATAATATACAAAAATGATAAACAATAATTCAAGTTGACCCAATGGAGATCAACCCAATGGTTCAAGGTTCAACCCATGAGACAAAATATATATACATATATAGGGGCTATTGCCCCTAAAAGCCACTAGTGCTCAATAACTATACAAGTGCTAAATGAGCTTTAGTCAATCATGTTTGCGTTGAAATATTTTAGGAATAAAAATGAATTACAGACCTAATTATTTTAGAAGACTGAGACAATCAAACAAATTGAAGGGTTCCTAAAATTTTTAATATGTAATGCCTTGAAACTGCAAAGAAAATTTAATTATATACCCAATAATATGGGTTTAAACTCATAAAAGTCGAAGATTAATATTCCCTTTTTGTCGTTCAACATTTTCCTACCTACCTATGTTTTTATTTTCATTTTACTGTTTCAAAACAAATTCACCGGCTTTCTAAAAGTCTATCAACTTAGAAAGTCCAAAAACTTTAAGTGACTTTATAATTATTGCTTTGTCCACCTGAGGCTTTACAAATGTAATGTAGTATGTAATATATATACTAATACCCCCGCCGCAGCAAACCTGCAGACTAAGCGAATTTCAACTTGTCTGATTACTATTTTACTAAAATATTTCCATAAATAAGACATATTATTCCCTATTTAAATAACATTAGATTTAACAAGTGCTTAGGTTTGCTGCTACGGGGAAGGTAAAAAGTGTTTTTTGACCATACATCTATAGTATAGGATGAAATAAATAAATTTGCCAAATTTGATCAATATATACCCATAAACAAGTAAACTACAACAATTTTCATTTTCTCCATAAGAATAACATGGGAATTTTTAATTACACAATTTTTGAATATTCTCCATGACCGTTAGGCATACAACAGCGCTTCAATATACTAAATTATTTCTTTTTTTAAGCTCTACAAAACGTTTTAGAAAGAAATCGCAAAATATTTTGTTTTTAGGTTCAAAAATGGGAAAAACCCATTTTTACCCCATAAAACCCCCCCATAATCCCCGTTCCCATGGTCCGATTATGCTGGATCGCGAACTCGTTCGAATAAACGTAGGTTTACACGTTTGTACCAAATTTCATCAAAATCGGATCATTTTTGCTCAAGTTATCGCGCTAACGGACATATATATATATATATATAAATATATATATATATATATATATGAATTTGAACGGATGGTGTTTTTGGCCTCTAGGGACCTCAAAATGAAATATTAGATCGGTCCTGGGTCCAGGTCTTACCATGAGTACTACGGTAATAGCTTATTCCCTATATGGGAAATTCGCTAAAAACTATGAAAAATCAAATAAGAGGGCTATATAAATAAACATTAAACATTAATAAACTTAGTACCTAAGTAAAAATTATTTATTAAAATATTTACTAATTATTAATTTCAATAAATAATTTTTACTTGGGTACTAAACTAAATAGTATATATATTTAGGATTAGAACACCAAACAGAAGGTTAGGTACAATGTATGTGTTTTGTAATTTTAAAGAGGCAATTTAGCCGTCATAGTTCCATAGTTGGGTACAGTATTACCTTATCCAGTGGCTCGATCCTGTAACCTTGAAATGTCAAGAGATCCTCTAGTAGTTGGCCATGGCTTCTCTGTAACAAGTCTGTTTGCCTTGGAACTGTCATTTATGTTTTTCAATTAATACCTCCGTTTCAGCACACCTGCATACTATGTGATAGAAAACCTGTAATTTTAAATCAATTTGCTGCTGTGGGTTTTTTAAATTTTGGGCATACAGTTTTTATACCTTAACAACATTTTTCTTAAACAGACTTTAAAATTTTTTTTTAAAAGTTGTTGAATACATTCAAGTTAATGAATACATTGCTAATTTGTGAATCTCACGTGTGTAACATGTTAATTTCTGTAGGGTTTAAACCGAATCCCCATTCAAACATTAGGCTAATATTATTATTTTTTACAACTTCAAAAAGGAACAAATTATCTTCCCCGGTTAATTTCATTGTTGACGTTTGATTGTTGAAAGAAAACCCAGAGTGGGAAAAATACAGTAAATAAGTAGGTAAAATAAAACTTATCATTTAAATTTACGTATAACAAGTTGTTATATTATATTCCAATTGAGATGAGGACGCTAGGTGCGTGTTTAACCCCAAATATGAGTGAAGGATGAATGTAGAATGGTGTGGTGTGATATTATTATGTGTAGTTTTGTTACTGACTAAGATCAGGCTGTTTAAAGCCCCAATGTTCAGGAACAGCTGGGTCCAGTTTCAAACCTACAAGAGACTTTTCTAAAGGATCGATACTACAACAACCCTTTGATTAGGCAAGCACTATGACCACTTGTCTACACAGCCAGGCAGTTTCATTAAAAAATTAAAATACTACGGTATTCATAGTCTTTAGCCAAAAATATGGCACTTTTCTTCATAGTTTGCTATCGTAAACGTGTTCAAAAACGTTGTGGTTTAATATGTTCCATTATAAGATGTTAAACATCGTAGCCTAGGATGTGGTGGCAAGATATTAATTGTGGTTGTTTAGCCTTTGTTATGTCTCAATGCAAAGTCAGTGATGATAGTCTCCAAAAATAAAATGTGTATTTAAAAACTAATTGTTTTCTGTCTTAAATAATAATAAACAAACTTTGATATTGTCATTAGGCCTACTAAAAAAACAAAAAAAAAATGGACAGTGTAGCTGCTACAATTGTTTAATAAGTTCAATTTAATTTTTTTAAGTTTTTGAAGGGATACGGTTTTAATATCTCAAAAAAAAAAAAAAAAATTGAACCGTTTGACATTTTACTTAGCCTACTTCTTGTATGATAAAAACACTTGTAAGTTTACTAACCCGTTTTCATAATTATATTATTTTTAACTCTGGTTTCAGTTATTTTTAATCTCAATAATATGTTTTTAAATTTTGTAGACATACAACTCTATAGGCCTAAACAGTACTTTCTGACACTAACTTGCGCAAGTGTATAAGCAAACATAACGGATTCTATTTAAGTATAGGTTTGAGGTATATTTTATCTAACACTTTCCTCATAAAGAATGCAAGGCCATTGCCAATGTCAAAGTTCGATTGAAAGGTTTCATAACAAATAACTGTGTCACTGGGTTGTGAATACTCAATGTTTTCCTTCTTCCGGCTTGAGGAATTCCCTCCGCCATTGTGACTTTTCCTTGTACTGTTTTACCGTATTGTTTTACCCACTTTATTTATGATTTTTGTTAGTTTTATTTATATTTTGCTTTTTGATTGAACAAGTAATTTAAAAAACACCTTCTTGTTCCACATTAGCTCATGCTGTTCCAACTCTTCCTTAGTTGATCTTAGGTTTTATTTGTACAAATATAAATAAAACACAATGTATAACAGTATCCAAAGATATACCAATGACACTGCAAACAACTAACATGTTTTTATATGGGGAAAACATGTTTTAGCTGATAACTCGAAAACTAAAAGAGTTACGGGTAAGGTTTAAATTTGAAAGTTGCTTGGAATTGTCATACATTTAAAATTAGTACCG